TCTCTGATGTTCTTTTAATGAAACAATATCAGATAGATTGGACAACACAGAAGAAATAGCAGCATCAATGCTAACGCTTGCTTCCTCAATGCGAGCCGCCATTGTTGTTGGAATCTCACGGTCGCTTCTCCACTCCAGGACACACCCGCCCTGCGTCCTGATTGGACAGACCATAAATTCGGTTGGGGAAATCACTTTCAATGAGCGGGTTCCCAGATGTATGTGAGTGGAGCTAGGCGGAGCGAGACATGCATCTGGCTGTTGTCAGGTTAGTGTAACATTGGTTGGGCTGAAAATGACATATTTGCTGTTCCATGCGCCCTAATGCATCCTGGGTAAAAGCCCTAGAATGAAACGACAGGTTTTCTTCCTTTTATGTTATGCTCATAAATATTTAGATGAGCCGTCCACTGATTGGTTGGTTTACAATGAGCAAAGCTGCTGAGGAAAGACGCATCATAGCAACAAGCACTCACTGAAATATCGAGATTTTTGATATGGTAGGGTGACCAGACAGATCCCTGACACATCCTACTTTTCATACCTAAAAAAAATGCCCGGGGGAATGTCAAAATCGTCTGGGATTTTGGTCGACTACGGTGTTGCACGTAGTCAAAACACGCCAGGCATTCGAACCGAGCCATCAGCTCCGGGAACCCCGGCGGACGGGGACAGGGAGCAAATGGAGGACGGAAGGACCTAACACGTCTAATTGGTTTCAATAATTGTTTATTGTATTGTTAAATGTAGAATTCTGACATTCTAACAGCATGATTTTCTTTGTCATTGTTCTTCAACACATGAGTACACCGTGACTGTATAACTAAGTTAAAGAAAGCTATAGAGCAAGTGTTATGGCTGTCGCCGTCATATTTGTGTTTTCCCTATTTTTTCTTCATTTTTCCTCTTTCTCACCTCTACTAAGTAGGCTGTATGGCCCTCTGGAAAGACCCGCCTACTTCCTGGTTTCTGGGGATCTGACTTCAGTCCCATCCATTAGCTCCCTCAGTTCCACCTTCAACCAATGGCTCATCACTACCTGCAATCACCTCCTGCTCATAAGGAAACCTCACCTGTTGATTGAGGCAGCTTGTCACAGCCAGTTGACTTGTGTGCCTCGTGTGAGCCAAACATTGTTGGTTAGCAGCTGCTTGCTTGTTTAGTGGAGTAGCTTTCTTATCTTTTTGGTTACCCATTTGGGGTTTGTGCTACTTAGCTTGTGTCAAGTATTTTGTTCTGTTTGGCTAATGTGCAAACTTTACTAGCTTGATGCTAGAAAGAGGGTGGAGGTAGGGCCAGAGTCTGGACTGATTGCATCACTGAGTTTTTTTCTTTGTTAGTTACATTAGGTGTAGTGGGTGCTGTGCTCTCTGTGTTTTTTAGTAAGAATCCCCTTTTGGTTTAAATCTGTAGTTAGGTATAATCCTCCTTTTGAGGATCTCTTTTATTTAACTTTGTTATTTTCACAGCACCCTCAACCACCCTCCTTTTGTTTGTTTATTGCTTGCACCTCTTGTTATCAAATAAATAATAATATTATAAGATCTTACCAGTTTCTGCCTATATGTTTATGCCCCCACCAGGGGCGTCTCTAGGTTTAAGAGACAAGGGTGGCTCAGCCCCTAGAAGATAATGGGTTAGGGTTAGGGTTAAGGCGTTGTCTAAGACAAGGGTGTAACTTTGTGTTGAAAGTTGGTGGTTATTGCGTGTTTTCGTTTTTTGCGAACTCTTCAAGAACATTCGTTTCTTTTTGCGCGTATTTTTGGATCGTTTCCTGACGAAGAATTCATATTCATTTTTGAAAGACTATCGAAGGAGCATAGAGACGAACTCTAACTTCTTATTGTTGAATTGTGAAAAAAAAGAAAAAAAGGTCTTTTGTAATTTTTATGTGTTTATGATGTATTTTTTTATGTTGTTATTGTTTTGTATTGACAAATTGTAATTTTTGTGGCTAGTATTGTCTTTTGAGTCTGCTGAGCATTTTTTGGTAATTTCGAGATATCTTGCTTTGGTTTTCTAATTTTATACTTGGGCTAATATTTCTATTGTGTGTTTTCTTCTATTGACATAACTGAGTTTTATGATTTTTCATGTTTGATAAGTGAAATGTATTTTTAGTTTAGTTTTTACTGGTTAAAATTTTGTGGTTCATCAGGTGAGTATTAAATTGTTGGACAGCGCAAGATACATTTGATAAGTTTAGATTATGGAGTTCAGCTTCAGACACATGGCCTGGCAGGGGACCTAGGAGGTGCTGTTTAAAAAGGGGACTGTTATAAAATTGGGCTAATGTTTTAGTTTTTTAGTATACTAAATAGTTTTTTGGTTCCTCTATTAGAAGGCTTAATCATTTTATTTGTGAGGTCTGTATGTCTCAGACCTCAAAACGGGGACTGTTAAAGAAAAATGATTATTTTTAGACTTTATTACAGTTAATCTTATGGCATGTGTAAACACTCTCACTTGAACATATTTCTTAATTTTGAACAAGGCTGTGTTAATGATTTAAAACTACTAATGGGTAAGTATTTAGAGCACCATACCATAAAATGAGTATCTCCTGGGGGCGAACATTATTTAAGCCTGCAGGAGAGATTTCTGCTTGGTTTACAGAAGGTCAAAAGTCTTCCAGAATAAACAACCAGGGATGGTGAGGCCCCCGCATTCCACAAGCTGTCTGTGGGAGCTTATCTTGTGTTTTATGACCCTGGGAATTCTAGATGCCAGGACAAGCTTTCCGCCTTTTCTTGTTAAAATAAAGAAGCAAATGACCCCAGATGTTTGCAGTAAATAAGGGGAAGCCCTAGCAGTGTCAGAGATGGCTTTTGGTTGGAGGACCGAGGGCCAGCCCTTTTTGAATGGATTAGATACAAGAGGATAAAGCTTTCTAAATAGAAGAAAAAGATCAGATTTTGCTCTTGCAAACTCTCCAAAGATGTCTTGTACGTCTTTGCTTTCTTTCCTCCTATGTCAGGTAATGGAATGTATGTCTCTGTTGTTCTGCAGTTTCTGGTGTAGGTTTGTGCATTGTCTTATTTCTAAGTTTATGCATTGTCTTATATTGGATTAAACTCTGTAATTCTGTGATGTCAACACGCCTTGCTGATTTTCATATTACCAAACGCAGCTCGCCGGGTGGACCTGGAGAGGGAAGAAAATGAAAAGCCAACCTTTTTCCAAAGTTAACTATGTTAGAATATTTTCTTCCTTTACAGGCCTTAAGCAGAATATGATTAAGCAACTCCGTCCTTCTGTCAAGAACATCCACCAGCAGGGTATCCAGGGGGGGATTTACCATTAGGCAATACTAGGCAGTTGCCCAGGGCCCCAAGTTCTGGGGGCCCCATAAAACTCTGTTTCCATGTATGGTTAATACAACTAATCCTTATTTGTGCACATTAATTATGTTTTTGATAAAAATCCTTTGGCTAAAATGCCATCAGAACGCTGATAAATAGAGAGGAAAAAGGGAGAAGAAGAGAGGGACAAAACCTAGAACAAATAATGGATGTCTATTCTATTAACATTTCTCTATCTGTAGAATGGGTCTGTTTTATGGGTTTTCTTCTCAGGGGGCCCCCTGCCTGTCTTTGCCTAGGGCCCCAAATTTCCTAAATCCGCCCCTGAGGGTATCAATACTGATTTGATAGAATCTGGGAGAGCGGACTATGTTCAACCATCCATTTTCTTTAACCTTATCCCTGAGTGGGATCAGGAGGTGCTGGTGCATATCTCTAGCCACGTTCTGGGTGAGAGGTGGGATCACCCTGGACAGGTCACCAGTCTGTCGCAGTATGTTCAACCAGCTTAAAAGTAATCGGTAATCAGATTTATTATTTGCACTTTTACTAAGTGAACATTCTAACTCCCTTAAATCTGAAATTCCAATGCCAAAATTGTTTAAATCTTTTATCTTTGGACCCCCTGCAGAGTGACGTCACACCTGCAAGATTCTATCCTTACCTTCCTGCTAGATTGCAAAAAGCAGCTTGCTCATGAGTTGTCAACATAACACGCTAAATCTTAAATGTACGTATAAAAGAAAAAGGGGCGCAGTGCTTGCTACTGAATGGCAACACTATCAAAGTCAGGAAAAAGTTTTAAGTAAAGCCGGGATTAAAACAGTAGCTACAAGAAGCTTCAAATAAAAGGTGTTCTTTATGTTCAACCTAAACACCAACTCCGATAGACCATCAGTAGAGCAGGTGTTTAAATTAATCAATCACTGCTGCGAAAGCTTATAGCAGTGAAAGCTAATATACCACAGCCATCACTTAATAAACGCAAAATAAACAACCCTCTAAAAACGGAAAACTGTAATGGACTGAAAGTCCTGTTTTTTATGTGGGAAATTATTTGCGTGTGTTTTAGTGTAATTCTGATATATTGGCGCTGTTGTCTGTTTCTATGGCAACGATACTGAATGTAGTGTAGCTTAGAGACCTGCATGGGTCGAGTTTTACCAACCCGCACCCGCCCGAACCCGATGACTACCGAACCCGACCTGTCACCCGCGGATATCTTCAATTCAAATGTTATGGGGAGAGGTTGGAGGGGGTGATGGGGAGAAAGCGAGAGGCAACAGATTATTTTTTCTGAGTTTTTTTGTCGGGGTTTGTGGACGGTGAGCAGCGGGGAGAACTTTTTTTATTTTCTTTCTGAGGAGCGGCATGAATGGGGTTTTAATCAGATATACACAGCACCGAAAGCAAAATACGTGTACAAAATATTGGTGGGGACATGTCCACACCAGTCCTTAAGGAAGTTACGCCTATGATTGTTCAGATTAACTTGTCTTCTTTATGGCTTTTATTCGGTGCTTTACTGCATTTGTTTTGGGAAAATATGAGGAAAAAATAAATACAGAAAAAAAAAATTTTTTTTTTAAATCGCAAAAAAATTATAGGGTGGCTAATGCCAAAGAAAGGGTGACTGAAGCCACCCTTAAATAGGTCTAACGACGCTTATGGCCCCCACTTCCCTAGACATACAGGGGGCCGTAACATATGTGGGGGCTTGTCCGGGATCTCTCTTTCTAGAGGAACCCCAAATTTCCACTTGGCATTTACAGTCATCTATAGTCAGGAGAAAGCCTTTGACAAATCACAATTTACAGATGAGCTCTTCAAATACAATTTAGTTTAGAAGGATGACTTTGAAGAAGAACTCAAAGTTCGGTTTTCACCCACCTGTATCTGACCTCAGTTGTTGTCTGAAAATGGAATGAATTGATGTGTCAAGCAATTACCAAACAGTTATGAAAAAAACCTATTCTAATTCAGTAACTTTAACAGTATTGTCAAAAATGAAACCAATGCATAGGAGAGAGAATAAATGTTTATATTAACAATAGGGCTTATTAAAACACTTTAAATTTTCTTCATCATATAATCAATTTAATGAACAAGAATGACATTTAAAAGAAGGTAAGAAGTGAAGATGAAGCTGGATAGATCACGGAGCTGCCCCAGGGATGTATCTGGGCTGGCATTTCCCCCTGCGACCCTGCAAGAAACAATAAAAACAAGAATATTTTACAGTACATATTTTACATACACTAGGTTTTGTTAACTAATCCTAACCACAACATGGATTTTTCTTTTTTCTTTGCAAGTACATTGAACTCTGGTTGCTTTTTAATAGATTAGAAATATTCCCTGTACGAATTCTGCAAAAATAATATACAGCAAGGTTAAATTAATTGACATTATAAGGCTAAGGCTGTTTTCACAGTTGATAGTAAGCTAAACTCAACATTTTGTTTCTGCTCACATTGCATTTTGGAAAACAGGCCAAATCTTTTGACCAGCTCATTCCTCTTCTCAAGTGGGGGTGCTGCATCAGAAACCGAAAAGGAAGTATAGCCAGCAACTGGGACAAGTTTGAATCCCAATTGTAAAATATATAGTGATATATCGCGGGTTGTCTCCCACCCCCCTTTGTTCCTCCAAGCTCGGGTCCTCTATCAGAGGCCTGGGAGTTTGAGGGTTCAGCGCAGTACCTTTGCTTTTCCTAGAACTGCACTCTTTTTGCTCTGCTCTTCTGCTCTCTTTTCTGTATTTCCAGGGATCTGCAGTAACCACTCTTCAAGTTTGGGGATCATTGCCCCTAGTACGCCAATGACCACTGGCACCACTGATGCCTTGACCTTCCAGGTTTTCTCCAGCTCTTCTCTGATCCTCTGATTTTTGTCTAGTTTTTCAGGTCCTTTATTCCTGATGATGCAGTCATTTGGTATTGCTATGTCAACCACAATGGCTTTCCTCTGCTTTTTGTCCACCACCACAATGTGCGAGTGGTTTGCCATTACCATTTGGTCTGTCTGTATCTGGAAGTCCAACAGGATCTTAACTTGATCATTCTCTACCATCTTTGGGGGTGTTTCCCACTTTGACATTGGGGTTTCCAGCCCATACTCTGCACAGATGTTCCTGTACACTATTCCAGCCACTTGGTTATGGTGCTCCATGTAAGCTTTCCCTGACAGCATCTTAAACCCTGCAGTTATGTGCTGAATTGTCTCTGAGTCTTCCTTATCTGCACCTGGGGTCTTGTCTGGTGTGGTAGATCTGGGTCTCTATTACTCTTGTGCTGAGGGCCTGCTCTTGTGCAGCCATGATGATTGCCTCTGTGCTGTCATTCAGTCCGGCTTTGTCTAACCATTGGTAGGATTGCCTGATATCTGCCTCTTTGATTATGTTTGAGTGGTACATCCCATGTAGTGGCTTATCCTCCCATGACAGAGTCTCTGGCACCTGATCTTCTGTCCCCCATTGTCTGAGACATCTACATCTATATATATATATATATATATATATATATATATATATATATATATATATATATATATATATATATATATATATATATATATATATAGATATAGATATAGATATATATATATTATGGTTTCTGGTTCATGTTAAGGAAGGAAAAACAACCTTAAACAGAAGGGGTAGACCCAGGTTTCAGCTTTCAAAAACCTATAATGCGGCAATTAAGTTGATCCCTTCCTGCTATCATCGCAGCCCTAGCCCCTGTACAGGAGAGTGGAGGACCTTGCCTAATTAGCCTGGCCAACAATTCCCTTTAACAACCCCCCTTTCAGGATGGGTATGGGACATTCCAGTTTACCCCCATTCAAAAAGGGTGGACCCCTTTGTCTGCTGGCTGGGACAAACTAATCAGATTAAAGATTAAAGATCTGATTACAAAAAATAGTTCTTTACATGTGCTGTTTGCTGCTTTGATACATTACAAATTTATGTCTCTATTTCCAGTTTTGAACAGGACAGCAAAGAGGACTATGTGGCTCTGGAGTGCCTGTCGTGTTCTTAGGACATTGCCCGAAAGTATAATGAATACTTTGAAGATCTCCTCAACCCTTTCCTATAAAAGCAAAGGCTGGGACCTTTGGGTCAGACTCCATGGTTTAGGGGCTTCAGAGGTGGATGAGTTCCACCCTGAGATCCATCCTGAACTCATCCACCATCCTCGGGTCTTTAGATGTTGTTGCACTGTTGTAGTTAACACACCTCAACAGTAATGGCCTTCAGGCACAGTACCCCTCAGAGGTGAATAGAATACCAAAAAAATGCACTGAATTTGTCATGATTGGTTCACTGGTGTGACCCAATAATGCAGAACACCACGGAGACGGAAACTGAAGTAAAAGGTTTAACAAAGTTTATTGTCATAAGCGCAGAGAGAATGACTGGTTCTGGTTCAGGCCTGGGGAACTGGTTCACTGGAGTCTGCGTGAGAGACAGTTCAATTAGCGTTTGCGCAGAGGAGTTTGATTCTTGACAGTTTCAGATTAGTACCTTGAGGGTCCTTGGTTAAAGCCTTGAGAGGAAAACTGTTGGGTCCGGAGATGGTTTGTTCAGCAGAGTCCGTAAGCTGCTTCAGCGTCTTACTTCTTGAGAGTGAGCTGACCTTGACTTTGAGTTTCCAGCTCTTGGTCCAGAGCTGCATGGAAGTCCAGAGAAAGGTTTCAGGTTTGGCTCAGAGGGCAGGCTCGGCAGGTTAAGCTCTTCCTGAGCTTCACAGGAGAAAAACAGGTTTCCTGGAAGACAGAGACAAAAGTTAGAATCCAGTCTGGATTCAAAAGTCAACAAGGGTTCTCAATGAATCTAGGCTTAGGTGCTAACCAACTGGATCAACACTGCGGCATTGAGGCAAGGTCTGAAGACAGCTTAAATACTGTGGATCCTCTGATGATGGAATGAGCCTCAGCTGTGCAGGAGGCTCGGCTCAGGAGGATCCACGGCGGACTCTGCTGGAGGAAGGTGGTACTTCTCCAGCTCCCAACAGTACCCCCCCCCCTCAACGACCGCCCCTTGGCGGTCCGGAAGATGTCGATGGACAGGAACGCTCGTACTCCTCGATGAGTGATGGATCAAGGATGTAAGAGCCAGGAACCCACTGGCGATCCTCCGGGCCGTAGTCCTCCCAGTTGACGAGGTACTGCCAGCCGCGACCTCGCCGACTTGAGACTACTGGTTTCACTTGGGAGACGTGGAATGTGGGATGAATACGAAGAGTCTGAGGCAGTTGAAGGCGTATGGCTGAAGGGTTGATGACCTGGGAAATCTTATACGGACAAATGAATTTAGGAGAGTTGATAGCCAAACCTCTTGATAGCCAAACCTCTTGACCCACGGAGTACTCTGGGGCGGGGCGTCTTCTGGAGTCGGCAAAACGCTTGGTGGTCTCGGAGGATCGATTGAGGGTCGTGACGGTTTCTCTCCATATGCGTTGGCAGCGTCTGATGTGCTGGTTGACTGACTGGACCGAAATCTCTCTCTCGTCTGCGGGAAAAAGTGGAGGTTAGTAACCGAGACTGACCTGAAATGGTGATTGGCCGGTGGAAGCAGATTTGAGAGAATTATGAGCATATTCAATCCAAGTTAGGTATTGGCTCCAGTCGGTGGGGTTGTTTGAAGTCAGACAACGGAGGGTTGACTCTAGCTGTTGGTTCATCCTTTCAGTTTGGCCGTTGGACTGTGGGTGATAACCGGATGTTAGAGAGGACTTACAGTCGAGAGCAGAACAGAATGCCTTCCAAACTTGGGATATGAACTGGGGGCCACGGTCAGAGAGGATCTCCTGGGGAATGCCATGTAGACGGAAAACGTGTTTCACCAGGAGCTGAGCGGTTTGGAAAGCCGTGGGAAGTTTCCTGAGAGGGATGAGATGACAGGATTTCGAGAATCGATCAACGATGGTGAGGATTGTGGACATACCTCGGGAGACGTCTTGAAATTAAGGCGACGGTTCTACTGACCCCCGGATGGGCGGAAAACTTGGCAGCATGCATCCATTGTATTAGGCGAGACCTGACAGAAGATGGTACATAAGTTCGGTTAGCTGGACCGTTACCTGGGTCGGGTTCTGTAGCCAGGGCGGTGTTAATTAGATCGGTGATCTCCCAGGTAACCACTCCAACTGTACACGATGCGGGAAGGACAGGTTCAGGCGTCTCGGGTTGATCGACGGAGTATAGACGAGAGAGAGAATCGGGTTTGACATTCTTGGATCCGGGTCTGTAGGAGATAATGAGATTGAATCGTGAGAAGAAAATGGACCACCTAGATTGACGGGGATTCGCTTGTTTAGCTGACTAGATGTAAGCAAGGTTCTTGTGATCCGTCCAAACGAGAACCGGGTGCTCAGCTCCCTCCAACCAGTTTCTCCATTCCTCCTGCGCCAACTTGATGGCCAGTAGCTCACGGTCTCCAACGTCGTAGTTTTGCTCTGTGGAGGAAAGTCTTCGAGAGAAAAAAGCACAAGGATGAATCTTTTGATCAGTGTCGAGTCTCTGAGATAAGACAGCTCCCACACCAGAATCGGAAGCGTCCACTTCGAGGATGAATTGTTTGGATGGGTCAGGCTGGATTAACACGGGTGCTCTGGAAAACAATGATTTCAGTTTCTCAAATGCGGTTTGTGCCTCAGGGGTCCATTGAAAAGTTCGTTTGACTGAGGTTAACGAAGTTAGGGGAAGAGCTGTCTGGCTATAGTTCCTGATGAAGCGGCGATAAAAATTGGCGAAACCCAGGAATCTCTGCAGCTGCTTGCGGTTTTCAGGAACTGGCCATTCCAAAACAGCCTTTATTTTGTCCTCTGAAGGCTTAACCTGCCCGCCCTCGAGCACAAACCCCAAAAAGGTGACTGAGGGCTGATGAAACTCACATTTTTCAGCTTTGACGAACAGTTTGTTCTCCAGCAATCTTTGCAACACAAGGCGGACATGTTTCTTATGCTCAGAAAGGTTCTTTGAATAAATGAGTATGTCATCAATGTAGACGAACATGAACACATTTAAAAAGTCTCTGAGAACATCATTCACAAGGGCTTGAAAACAGGCTTTGATTAGAACAAAACAAAGTGGCAGGGAGCATCAGTCGAGGAGATTTCTTTGAGTTAGCATGGCCCGCCAGACTCCTCAGAACCTCTGCCGGGCCCAGGCTTTTGATTTAGCTGGACAAGAAGCGATGAAGTGACCACTCTCACCACAGTAGATGCATAGTTTACTCAAAAAACGTCTTTGTCTTTCCTCTGGAGTGAGCCTGGTGTGTCCCACCTGCATGGGTTCGGCATCCATTTCTCCGGAATGAGAGGCCTGAACAGGCAGAGGGAGAGACTGGGCTTTAGATCTCGGTTTGGGCAACTGTTCTGTGGGAGAAGAAAAAACAGTCACATTATTTGACGCAGGGGCAGAGGAAAATTATCCCAGACTTCTTGACTTGGAGCTGTTTCTAGCTCGGATTCTATTGTCCAATCTTATCGTCAAACGGATTAATTCTTCAAGAGTGGCTGGTTCGTCGAGGGTTGCTAGTTCATCCTTAATGCTTTCGTTCAAAGCCATAAAATAAGCCCCCTTCAAAGCGTTTTGGTTCCATCCGGAAGCTGCCGCTTTAACCCGGAAGTTGATGGAGAACTCCGCCACAGAGGAATTTCCCTGTTTAATGTTGAAAAGAGCACGAGAGTCAATGGTTTGATCTGTTTCTTGATTAAATACCTGAGAAAATTCAGAAATAAACTCTGAGTAACGGCAATCGAGGCTTTCGTCGGAGGCAAACCTTGCCTGAGCCCACTCCAAGGCTCTTCCTGTTAATTGGGAAAGAATAAAAGTTATCTTCTTATAGTCCGTGGAAAAACTGCCAGGTGAGTTCTGAAAGATTAAACGGCACTGAAACAAAAATCCCTTGCAGTCTTTCATATTACCAGAGAATCTTTCTGGTAGGCTTGGGCGGTACTCTGATGACGTCACTGCCAGTGACCTCGGAGGAGGACTGGACCCGGAAATGGTTGTGCTGCCGGCGTGGCATTAGCGCTGTTCATGTAATTAGCATAGCCTTGGAGAACTTGGTTTTGCATTTCGATGTGGGTATTTAACTCACGAAGAGCCAAGGCGTGTCCATGGAGTTGGGCCGCCTGCTCCTCCAAACGACGAGTGAGGTGATCTGCTGGGCCTTGTGTGTGGCCACAGTGTTCTGTCATGATGGGTTCACTGGTGTGACCCAATAATGCAGAACACCACGGAGACGGAAACTGAAGTAAAAGGTTTAACAAAGTTTATTGTCATAAGCACAGAGAGAATGACTGGTTCTGGTTCAGGCCTGGGGAACTGGTTCACTGGAGTCTGCGTGAGAGACAGTTCAGTTAGCGTTTGCGCAGAGGAGTTTGATTCTTGACAGTTTCAGATTAGTACCTTGAGGGTCCTTGGTTAAAGCCTTGAGAGGAAAACTGTTGGGTCCGGAGATGGTTTGTTCAGCAGAGTCCGTAAGCTGCTTCAGCGTCTTACTTCTTGAGAGTGAGCTGACCTTGACTTTGAGTTTCCAGCTCTTGGTCCAGAGCTGCATGGAAGTCCAGAGAGAGGTTTCAGGTTTGGCTCAGAGGGCAGGCTCGGCAGGTTAAGCTCTTCCTGAGCTTCACAGGAGAAAAACAGGTTTCCTGGAAGACAGAGACAAAAGTTAGAATCCAGTCTGGATTCAAAAGTCAACAAGGGTTCTCAGTGAATCTAGGCTTAGGTGCTAACCAACTGGATCAACACTGCGGCGTTGAGGCAAGGTCTGAAGACAGCTTAAATACAGTGGATCCTCTGATGATGGAATGAGCCTCAGCTGTGCAGGAGGCTCGGCTCAGGAGGATCCACGGCGGACTCTGCTGGAGGAAGGTGGTACTTCTCCAGCTCCCAACAGAATTAAAAGTAGCAAGAGTAGCAATATTTCATGATAAATTTATTGCATTTCTCAGCCTCTCTGAGAAGGACAGAAGTGTCTGGCTGATTGTCAAACCTTGGCTTTGAGATGAGCAATGTGGTTTTTGTCCTGGCTAGGAACAGGGGACCAGCTCTACATCCTCTGCTGGATGCTTCAGGGTTCATGGGAGTTTGGTGAACTGGTCCACATATGTTTTTTAGAGTTTGAGAATTTTGTGAGAGAAATTTTTATTTCGAATTTTGTTTTGTTCATTTTTTGTTTGTGTCATTCAAATAAAGTTAACGTTCATATCAGATTCAGTCGTCAGTGTTAATTTACCACTCTGGGCCACTGTTGCAAATCTGCAACATCCCAGAATTCATTGCATTTGAAGGTCTAGGTAACTAAAACATGTTTATATTTTTTTTTGCAATTTACATTGACTAGAAGCTGCTACCTCTCTGTCTAACCTGATAGCATAGACAAGCAGGGACAGAGTAGTAAGATGATGTATACCTTCATAAAAAAAGGAGAAATTCAAATTGAGAAATGGTAAGAAAAGAGGAAGAAAAAACCCAATTAACAAAGATCAATGTAACTCTTTTATGTATAATATTTGGTATCAGCGTTTTGAAATTTTGTTGTGTTTCATAATGTGAAACAAACAGACTCATCGATCAATCAATCTTTACAAATAATACATATGGAGAAACTATGCAATGCCAAAACCTTAATTTGAACTCAACTATCTGAGGAAGGTCTGACACAGAATGCTAAATATTGCAAGCTTTGTGTGGTCATATGAAAAATTACAAAAGGATTACAACATAGGAAATTAGCAAATTCACAAACTGTGAGTTTGTCATTTATACCATTTTCTGATGATTTGATTAAAGTGTTTATGCTTCTCTGAGGTAAAAGAGTCGATGCAGTCAACTGGTTTTCCTTAGACAGAAAACTTTGAATCAATCTGACTGTATGATCTGGTGAACTGTAAAGTTCCTTGAGATGACGTGTTGTGAATGGGAGCAATATAAATAAACTGAATTAAAGATTGAATCGAAAATTAAAATCATCTAAGTTTGTGGAGGAATATACATTCCTAAAAGGTTTAGCTTATATATCTGTATAGTCAACTTTGCTAATTTAATGGCTGTTGTGAGCTTTTTCTGTTTTATTAAATCTTTCCCAGTCTCTGAATCACCACTTATATTTATCTTATTAGTTATCTTTGACTTTGGCACAAATGTCCTAGCGGATCACTACTGTGATATTGTATTTTTAATTTTATGAAATAGTATCCTAGAACTGGTTAAGTGAGTTTGAAAACCAATGTGAAGACGTCACTAAAAGATTAATTCATCTTATCTTGACTTACCTTGACTTTATCTAACTTTCCTGTCCTCTTTGCTGTTGATATGATAACTAAATGGAGAAAAATAATAAAACAAATAAAATTTTATGTAATTTGAGCCAGTTCTTGTCAAATCATTTGTTTGTCCTGATACAAGGCAAAGTTTCTACTGAAAAAATAGCTTCCCTCTACCCTTTTGCATTTTTAGGGTGTCTAAAAGATAAAGAAATTACATTTCCTGCTGTATAAAGAAGTAAAAAAGAGGAACTGTATTGTGCTTTAACATTTTGCACAACAGAGACTCCTTCCCCATTGTCAGAAAGGTAAAAGGGAAAATGGTCAGAGCTGTTAATTCTGAAGATGATGAGATCGGAATGGATTATATAAATCAACCTGCATCCAGAAGGCATTCTAATACAGAAACCAAAGGGAATCATAATGCATCAGGTAAGATTGGCTAGATGCTGCTGCCTTTTTTTCACCTTTACGTGTGTGAATTTAAAGAGAGTACTTGATTACTGATTGGTTTATAATCGACAAACTTTTGTAAAAACAAAAGAGATTTTAAAAAACTCACTGTGGTTTTCTTCCTTTATCCAGTGGAAAGGTCGTTCAGACTGATTGGTGTTGGTTTTGGACTCCTTTGCATCCTACAAGCTGCTCTCAATGTTTCCCTCCGTCTGACACTCTGTGAGTTATAAAACTTTTGATGCAAGACTGCCCAGTCCTCAGATTTAGGGTTATTGTCAGGGTTAGGACATAGAAAAGATTAGGAGGACTAAAAGTCAATGGAAGTCAACACATGGTCCTCAACATATAGCAAGATGAGAAAGTGTCTTTAAGTTGCCCTGCAATGGACTAAGAGCCTGAAGGAAAACATAACTCCTGAATCCAGAAATTTGCAATAATCATTCCCAACTCTGGAAGGATATATGGGTCTAAATGAAATATTGATCTATACATGAGGATGAAACTATTTCATGGTTAGTAGTTGTTTTCTCAATTAATTAAAAAAATGAATTATCATGAGGGGAAAATACATTATATTTGATTGATGGGTAAAACATGAATTCTTTAAATGTATAAATATAGTATACAAAAAGGAACAAAATGGTAGTCCGTAGGGACAAATAATGGGTTCACATACAGTACTTACAAAGGGCTTATTGCATGGAATCCACACTAAGTATAGAAAAAAACATACAAACAGTATGTCGAACACAGCTTTTGGAAGTATTTGAATATTACATGTGGTTTTTAGCCAAATTTCTTTCAGTATTATTAGGTTCCTGATCTTCATCCCTTACTCTACATCTTATTTACAGTGTCCAAACGGGAACCAAATTGGTGCTGATTTTTCCAATGTGGCTGCAAATCAGTATTATTAATATTATTTTACTTGGTGAAATGGTAAAATCTTCCATTAAATATATTTCTATTTGCAATTATCTTTTTGTTTTGTTTTTTTATATAAAACAGTTCCCTTAAGAACCCACTCCACATCAGAGAGGGAAAAACATACCCTGTTAACACATAGGGCCGGATCTATCAAAGCTTTGCGTGTATAAAAACGTGAGCTATTTCACTGCGCACGCTAAAAAATTTACAAACTGATCTATCAACAGCGTGCTAAAATGATTTGGTCTTTAAAACGTGCTAAATAGCGCCTCTTATCCATTTAGTACTTTTTCTGCGATGAATATGCAATATGGGGCGTTTACACGCAAAATTGCGTCTTGTGGGAGGAGAACATGTAAATATATTAATTTAGCACTCGCAAAGGGATTTATTAAACCTGAAAGCAATTTTGCTAACGGTATCTGACTCTATATTTAACACGTTTCAAAAGAAGGTGCAAATGGTCTGTATGCGTAATTGCGCACACATGGCAGCGGTTATTGTCGCAAGAAGGAGACATCGAAATGAAGCAAGGAGATGCAGAGAACGCATTTTTTCACTCCGTGTGAATATTTTTGGAATGAACGAGGAAACGATCATCAAAACATTTCGTTTATCCAGCATTGCCATTTTGGAGCTGTTGGGGGAACTCCGAATGGATTTGGAGCCAGCCACAAGGAGGACCCACGCAACACCAGATATCACAAAACCAGATTATTAACCAGCCTGACACAAAACTTGCAACATTGCACTTTCTGCATCTGGGTCATTCCAGCGTACGGTTGCAGCGAGAGCTGGGATCTCCCTATCTCGTTTTTTCAGAAGTGCTGTCCGAAGTGCTGTCCGACGGGGTCGGGGTTCTCCCCCTGCGCCTGTGGAGCAACATGCCAATGCTGCGGGGATTTACTGCAGTGAAGTAGAAATTCAGCCACATACCACCTTAGGGAATAAAGGTTGCCAAAGTTTTTTCTTTATATATATATATATATATATATATATATATATATATATATATATATATATATATATATATATATATATATATATATATATATATATATATATATATATATATATACATATATATTGGAGGGGGTGGGGGTGTCACTGTAAGATTAAAATTTTTAATGCACTAGTTTGCACAAACTACTTTGCCGCAAACCACAAAATGCGCAAAACCATCATTTAAATAGGGCGTCTCCAACAGTTTTGCACCTGCCACCAGTTACGCAATCACTCTTGTTAAATCACCCGCAAACCATGGTTCAGCCCCTCGCGCAAAATTCCAGTTTGCGAGCGCAAATTACTGCACGCAAAATTGGATCTTGATAAATTCGGCCCATATACGTTTACAAAATGAGCACAACCGCTTACATAGTGTTAATATTTACCTGACACCACAAGAAGACGCTTGTTTTTAAAGTGTGGATAACTTTTTCTATGTTTCAGACAAAGCTCAGACCCCTCTGGAAGAGACAATTTGCAGAAATAAGACTCGAGATACATGCAAACTTAGGCAACAGACTAGTAAGTGTTACCACAATGAAATAAATGGGAAGTGTTAAGAGTCTAGCAGTAACATATTGGTGTAAAACCTGTTAGTTTATGGGATCTTAAAAGCTATTTTCCCCCCCATATTAGGGCAGTATCTCCAGAAAGGATGGCTGTATTTCCATGACAGGTTGTATTATATATCTTCCACCGAGAAAACTTGGCATGAGAGCAAAGAGTACTGCAGGCAACAAGGCGCTGAGCTGGTGATCATAAACAACAAAGAGGAACAGGTAAAAGTCTCTTAGCTTAAAATAAAATTGTTATTAAGCACAAAGAAAACTTACTGAAATCAATCTCTTTTTTTCTTTGTCACTGGTTGTTCATTTTCCATGTAAGGACTTTACAAGGCAGTTTAACAGGTTGACATGGATTGGACTGCATGACTCAAGCTTTGACAAGGGGAGTGGACATGGGTGAACGGAGATCCTCTTATCACAAGGTTTTATTTATTTATTGCTTTTTTAACATTTCTTGAAATACAGCTGGAAGCATATTTATGATCTATAGTCATGTATCCTTCAGGCACTGCGATATTGTGCCCTTACCACCACACAGAATACAGAGCCATGGAAAATAACTTAATGAGCACAGAGAACCGGACCATTATTAAAACACAGGACCTTCCTGGTGCCATTTAATGAAATTCATTTTATCTTTACAGGGTCAATTCATGACCCATGTAATCTTAACAAACTTGACGGAGTCGATTCAATGAAAGCATAAAATCTTATTTGAAACAAATGTTCTATATAAGAAAACCCAACAAATCAAATGGAGTAACTGACTGTAGAATTCACTCATGGAAAAGCACGTAGCAACTGAGGACAGTTGCTTTCATTATATCGTTGATTTTGCAGCAATCCCAGAGAAAAACTCCCTTTTACCAGGAAGAAACCTCCAGGAGAACCATGTTCAGTTGGAATCCTCTCCAACAACTTAATGCAGATTTGAAAATGCAGAGCAAACACACAAAAGAAACACAAAGATATGGTTCTAGGAATACTTTCTATCTTAGAGAAGGTAATAGTAGACCAGCCCCATAGGTGGCTTTGACAAGGAAATAAATAAAGCTAAGCAGATGAGCTCTGAGCCAGTTTTCCCATCAAAAAGGATAAAATAGAGCACATACAGTTAGTGTCAGTAAAAGCTCTGCTCAAAATGTCTAAAAGAAACAGAACTAAACACTAAAAACAGGGCAAACTGTTTCATATGTGACATAAAATGCTGACAGCTACTATAAGGAGAGTAAACTGAGAGAACATAAAGTTAAAATGTAAAGTTATAATTGGTGCAAAATAAAAAAAAAAAAAAAACAGAAGTAGATTGTAGAAAACTGGGGAATAGTTATCTTGATGTCTTCCAGAAGCTTAAGTCAATAGCACCATAATTAGAAACATAGTTCATATTAACCTGAGTCATTCTCACTGTGTTCTATATCTGTAAGAACCGTAGAACCTTGGACCTGATATTTAGACAAAAAGGATCGGTTGAAACAAGTTTATTAAAATAAACAAAAGGAGAGCGGCAGAAACTCTTCAGGGTGGGCTATCAGATTCTCTGGTTAAGAGTCCAGCCTGATTAAGTCATTCAGAACACAGGGTGCAGGGGAGTTGGCGCCAGCCGATGCCGAGCAGGCAACAGTGTCCATGAGGGATAATCCAAAGCCTAAGTACAGTCTAAACCAGTTTCACAGACCAGGAACCTCAGATAGCCAAAGACGTATCCAAGGCGAGGTTAATAACACAATCCAAGTTTGGTAACCAGGAGAATCCAGGATGTCAGGCCAAAATCAAACTGAGCAGAAAAGACTGGGAAAAGGCAAAAAAAACTGAAAATAAAGAGGCAGAAAATGGGTCACATTCAAAAAAGTCCAAAACACTCGCCAGCTATAATAATCTGGCACTGATAGCAGGGAAGCAAACAACATAAATAGCCGTGGGAACCAGGTGAAACAGATTGGAGATAATCAACTGCAGGGCCAATTAGACAGGTGAGCAGGGGCAGATGAAAAAATCCGACCATCAGTGCCAGGACTATGATAATATCAAAAAAGAGTCTTAAAAGCTGACAGGATGTCTGCCTTTAACAACTAAAGCACCATATAGCCGCTTAATCTGTGTCCCAATATGTTCAAATCACAGACTATAAGATCTGTTTTAGTGCATGTATTTTTTTTTATTTAACTTGTACTGTATTATCTTGTCTCCAATGTTGTCATGTTTTGTCTTCTATGGTTTCAGCTACTGGGGACCTGGAGAGCCAAACGGTTATGACACCAGAAATGAAAGCTGTGTAGAGATAAGGTTTTATGACATCGAAAACAGCTGGAATGATATACCCTGTGGCAATCAAAACTTTTGGATCTGTGAGAGAGATGGAGTCTTTTAAATACGAAAATACATCCTTTGAAATTGATCATATAAATGTAAAAATAACCATAATATCAGCATTATATAATTTGATCTTTGCATAGTTTTTTAAAAGTTGAAAGCAAATACTGTAAATGCCCTCATTCTCTGTAATTTTTTGGAAATATATCAATAAATGAAAATACAATAACTTTTGGATAAGAACACATCTTTTACTTTAGTATCAAATTAATCTTACTCTTTCTATGAAATGTGGTTAAAGTCAGTTTACCAACAGCTTGTGAAATGGGTGCAATGTTCATCTAGGAGGAACTCCTTAAAAACAGAATTGGTGTTTCGCAGTCAGAACAGCAGGTGGTGCAACAGAATCTCTGTAATGGTGCAAATTAACACCTCCTAAATGATACTTTTTTCTTTGCATATGTTTTTGAACATCCATACAGATGGTACACTACTAGTAGGGAAACATCTAATACTACATTTATCAGAGTTGTTGCTTATCTCCTGCTAACCAGTGTTGATTTTGACAACCATCTTGGATTTAGTCTTAGTCTTCAGGACCAAAACTATTATTAGTCTTAGTCGCATTTTAGTCATTACAATATGTGATAGTTTTAGTCTGTTTTAGTCGACAAAAACTTAAAAAGGTTTTAGTCTAGTTTTAGTCAATTTTATGTTGCAAAAAAGCAAAACTTTACAATTTCGAATAAAAACCAGATTATTAACCAGCCTGACAGCTCTTGCATAGATATTACAGTTGCTGGGTATAGAATGCTGCTGTTCATCATTGCTGTTTGGCAGAAAACTTTGATTTATAGAATTCAAATAAACTTTTATGAATTAATGTTCTACTTTATAAAAAAAAGTCTCACAAAAGTTGTGAAAATAGCAGATCTACTTCAACACATCATATTGGTTAATATAGCAGACAGACAACCTAACAAAATATAGAATAAATGGTTTTAGACATATAAGGTTTCCATCATAAAGCAAACACTTCCTGATCTACTATTAATTATTTAGAAAAAAAAGTCATTCAACTGTGGCCCTCAACGTGCCCTCAAAAAGTACGAAATCAGGGGCCCTTTTACTAGGGGCCATCCATTTGCTTCACAAGAGCAGGACTGCTTTACCAGCATTTAGTTAGATCTGTTCCCAGTACATGTTAAACTTGTACAGGGCTGCTCTCTCAGCTTGTCCTGTTCATAATCTTTACTTAGAGGCTTTCTATATGCACAGCCAAGGAGGAGGGTGTAGTTGGGGACCAGTGGATATCATCCCTGTTTGTTCTGCTGGCCAGGACATATCTGGTTCTCAACCACAAAATCAGGTTTTTCCTCTAAAGACCGCAGGTGAGCCCCTGTCTTAACGACAGTGGTGTCGGATGCAGAAGTTTACTCTGCCACCGGAGGATTGTTAGTTCAAGCCCAGCTCTGGCTTTCAGTGGCATTGTGTCCTTGTGCAACACCCTTCACCCTCTTGCCTACTGATGGCGTTCAGAGGGCCTGGTAGCACCAGCGTGTGATAAGGTTATTATTGGGTTGTAATTACGATCTAATCTGATTTATCTCATCTGATTTATTACTCAAAAGGCCAATCAATACAATATTTGGAGATACAAATAAAAACAACATAATAAATAAACATCAAACAGGTGGTTCTCTCTTCCTTCATCATTATCAGATCATGCAGATCTTTTCTCATTCAGTTTTCTTTTTACTGCCTGTTATTTTTTATAATGAGGAACTTTCATACATCCAAACTGAGTGGTAGAAAAATAGACCTAAGACTGGAAGTCTATGCTCAAAAATCCCAACCATAAAACAGCAAAACAACTTATAACTCTACTTAAAATAGCTAACTATCTGAAGGTATACACTAAAGGTCACCAATCAACTCTAAAAACATCTTTAGGGCAAACCGTTGTCAATTCCTGGACCAGATTAGTGCCTTACAATGATTTTTTCGATCATTCTGTTTAATTTTATATAAGTGTAATTTTATTTACTCATGCCAGCTGCAGCCAATGGTTTTGTCTTACGTTTGTTGATTATCTGGGTTTATGGTACATTTCCAGTCCTCATCTTTAGTAAAACCAAACACATCAAAGTAATTTTTTATTAACTTAGGCATGACGTAAACATTTATCACAGGGATCAGCCCAATCCAAACCGAATAACCCAATTAACACCCTCATATTAACACAGGACAGCTCTCCATCAGCAGCAACCAGTTGTGATAATGAAATTTCACTTTGTCCACATCTGATTTAGGGGAGTGGCAGCGAAGTGGTTAGGGAATTGTGCTTGGAATTCACAGGTACCAAGTTGAAGCGCGAATCCCACAGACTGCCACCCTGGGTCCATGAGCAAAAAGACCCTTAACCCCACACTGCTCCCCAGGCGCCACACCATGGCAGCCCACTACTTCCCACAGGGATGAGTCAAATGCAAAGAGTGAATTTCGTTGCTCTGTACTTGTGACAGTGTAATGACAATAAAACAAGCTTGAAAAGTGGTGCACTCTGCTCCTAATCTATACGTTAGGAGTTTCACGTTTGCCTAGCGGGAGTTGCTAAAATGTTTATCATTCAAAATATGATATAAATATAAGTGCTTAAAAAAATGAAAAACTGTTTGTCTTTCCCTATTATTTTTGCTATTCGTGGGGTATAATCATGTAATAGAACTAATAAAAAATGACCGATAAAATTCATTTCACCCTGATAAAATAAGGTTGTATACACCAACACTAAGAACATCATCACTTTCCCTACAACAGCATTTATAAGACATTTTTTCACATATTCATCAACTCTACAGTGACATTGTTGGGATCCAGGGTTATTTTGGTGGTAAAACCAGATGGTGTTAGAGGCTGCATGCCTGGAGATGCGTGTTCGCTGACTCAGTCAGCGCACCTTTGACTTGTCAACTAATCATCCTGGAATTTAAGAGGAGCAGACTTCCAGTACCTCGTCGCCTAGGCATTTGCCAGTAATGGTATTCTGAGCCCTCTGAGTTTGCTCTCTGTTTGCCATCAGAAGACCTTCCAATAATCGATTATTGTTGCCCCTCTCTCTCAGGTGATTTCTTGTGATACCTTGTAAGTTTCCCTATGAAGATACAAGACCTGGCTTTTGGATTGTTCCTTCTTGTAGCTGTTGATAGTTACCCGCTGGTGCCTACGTAAGTCCTTTCTTCATCTCTGCAGATTATTCATTAACCTTTCCTGGATATCTGCTGGGAGTCGACTCGCTCCTCTTTTCTCCTCCACGCCTGAACTTACCCTCCACCCAGCCTCCACATCTCACTCAGTCAAGATCTCCCTCAGGAACCTGAATTACCTTGAAGACTCCCACAAGGTACCGAAACCACAAATCAACAATTTCCCCTCTTCTGACTAGAAGTAACTTGCAAACCAAGAAAGACCAGTCTGATTTATCTTAAAGTTCCAGTTGTCCAATTACCTCAAGTTCACCATCATCCTTACTGCTCTTCAGGGTGCAGATGACTATCCACTGGACCTTGGCATTTTCTTTTTGCACAACTTGGCCAAGAGGTGTGAAGTGGCTTAGCCACATAGATTTTTTGGTTCATGCCCAGCGCACAAGTAAAGTATCATACCTCTGGACTTTTAATGTTGTTCATGTAATGATGCATGAAGGGCTTTTTTTTACTGACAAACTGAAAAAAGCAGAGTGCACAAAAAGCAAATACAACAGCAGTATTGATCTCACATTGGAGAAATTTACCTCTGCATTTAACACATTCCCTTGGGGAGCAGTGGGCTGTCAGGATTCCAAGGTCTATGCCCTAACCACTAGGTCGCCCCTCCCCACAGATGTGTGGGCATAAACAATTGAAGAAAATCCTTATGGAAAAAGAAAGATCATCATGACATATGCATTTCCTCCGCCTTACAAACCAGAGCATTGAAGTACTATTTTTTCTGACTTTATACTTTTTATGGAATAAATGAGGTAAAATTTCACAAAGAGGAAGTAAAAATGTGTGTTGCTACATTGAAAACTAAAAGGAGAAGAAGAGTTAAAAGGAGAAGAAGGGTTGCAAGTCATTGTTATGCAAAAACCATTTCTTGCCCATCACCACTGTGGTGGTCTGAAGGTAACATGGCAAGACTTGTTAATAGAGAGCTAGCTGAGGTCAACATGGATTATGTGAATCTACAGGAGTCTTCGGTAAGAATGCATACTAATGGAAGGAACCTTGCTTTACCAGGTAAGACTAAAACTATTACCAGCATGTGATTTTTAGACTTGTCTAATTTCTTTTTAATGGTTATTTTGTATAATTCAATAACTTTTGTAATGATGATAAGCTATAAGCAAAATAGGACATTTTATTTTGTGAATCTTTTTATTATACTTATCAGATAATTAAACTAAATTTCTGTTCAGCTTGACTTGGTGTCATGTGTCAAGCTTTGCTGAAAACAGCAACACTGAAAAATGTTGAAAAGGAAAAATACTGCCATAAAATGCTAAAGATTTACTGTTGTTCTAGATCCAAGGAGAAGGTTATTCACACTGGTTGGTGTTGGATTTGGACTCCTTTGCATCGTGCAAGCTGCTCTTAACGTTTCACTCCGCCTGACTCTCTGTGAGTTTCATACCTTTCTCAGTATGAAAGCAGAGCTCTGGAGACAACAAGTTTGAATAAGTAAACTAGAAAATACAAGTAATGAATTGTTTGCTTTAGACCAAATAAATTACAGATTTGTTTTATCAGGATTCTTTATCAGAAAGACATATGACGAAAAAACCTGCAGCTGCAGCAGTAATGGTATTCTGAGCCCTCTGAGTTTGCTCTCTGTTTGCCATCAGAAGACCTTCCAATAATCGATTATTGTTGCCCCTCTCTCTCAGGTGATTTCTTGTGATACCTTGTAAGTTTCCCTATGAAGATACAAGACCTGGCTTTTGGATTGTTCCTTCTTGTAGCTGTTGATAGTTACCCGCTGGTGCCTACGTAAGTCCTTTCTTCATCTCTGCAGATTATTCATTAACCTTTCCTGGATATCTGCTGGGAGTCGACTCGCTCCTCTTTTCTCCTCCACGCCTGAACTTACCCTCCACCCAGCCTCCACATCTCACTCAGTCAAGATCTCCCTCAGGAACCTGAATTACCTTGAAGACTCCCACAAGGTACCGAAACCACAAATCAACAATTTCCCCTCTTCTGACTAGAAGTAACTTGCAAACCAAGAAAGACCAGTCTGATTTATCTTAAAGTTCCAGTTGTCCAATTACCTCAAGTTCACCATCATCCTTACTGCTCTTCAGGGTGCAGATGACTATCCACTGGACCTTGGCATTTTCTTTTTGCACAACTTGGCCAAGAGGTGTGAAGTGGCTTAGCCACATAGATTTTTTGGTTCATGCCCAGCGCACAAGTAAAGTATCATACCTCTGGACTTTTAATGTTGTTCATGTAATGATGCATGAAGGGCTTTTTTTTACTGACAAACTGAAAAAAGCAGAGTGCACAAAAAGCAAATACAACAGCAGTATTGATCTCACATTGGAGAAATTTACCTCTGCATTTAACACATTCCCTTGGGGAGCAGTGGGCTGTCAGGATTCCAAGGTCTATGCCCTAACCACTAGGTCGCCCCTCCCCACAGATGTGTGGGCATAAACAATTGAAGAAAATCCTTATGGAAAAAGAAAGATCATCATGACATATGCATTTCCTCCGCCTTACAAACCAGAGCATTGAAGTACTATTTTTTCTGACTTTATACTTTTTATGGAATAAATGAGGTAAAATTTCACAAAGAGGAAGTAAAAATGTGTGTTGCTACATTGAAAACTAAAAGGAGAAGAAGAGTTAAAAGGAGAAGAAGGGTTGCAAGTCATTGTTATGCAAAAACCATTTCTTGCCCATCACCACTGTGGTGGTCTGAAGGTAACATGGCAAGACTTGTTAATAGAGAGCTAGCTGAGGTCAACATGGATTATGTGAATCTACAGGAGTCTTCGGTAAGAATGCATACTAATGGAAGGAACCTTGCTTTACCAGGTAAGACTAAAACTATTACCAGCATGTGATTTTTAGACTTGTCTAATTTCTTTTTAATGGTTATTTTGTATAATTCAATAACTTTTGTAATGATGATAAGCTATAAGCAAAATAGGACATTTTATTTTGTGAATCTTTTTATTATACTTATCAGATAATTAAACTAAATTTCTGTTCAGCTTGACTTGGTGTCATGTGTCAAGCTTTGCTGAAAACAGCAACACTGAAAAATGTTGAAAAGGAAAAATACTGCCATAAAATGCTAAAGATTTACTGTTGTTCTAGATCCAAGGAGAAGGTTATTCACACTGGTTGGTGTTGGATTTGGACTCCTTTGCATCGTGCAAGCTGCTCTTAACGTTTCACTCCGCCTGACTCCCTGTGAGTTTCATACCTTTCTCAGTATGAAAGCAGAGCTCTGGAGACAACAAGTTTGAATAAGTAAACTAGAAAATACAAGTAATGAATTGTTTGCTTTAGACCAAATAAATTACAGATTTGTTTTATCAGGATTCTTTATCAGAAAGACATATGACGAAAAAACCTGCAGCTAAGCTGCTGCTCAAACAGGCTCAATTTCTGATATATTTCAACATAGGCTTTAAAGTATTGATCACCTGAAATGTTTCCTTTACAGGTGATTTTTAAAAAATCATAGATATTGGACCAAAAATGTTATGTTATGGACTGGTAATAATCATTGATTTCTATCAGTTTCTGGATTAGGCTGGTTAACTGTTGTGAAAGTTGTGAAATGTCAGAGGAAGTATGTAAAAAAAAAGGAGGGGGTTTTGGGGTTTTCCACTTTGCTCATGCTTTTTTCCTTAAAATAATAACAACCTCCCTAAGATGACATCACTTTCCACTATTGGTGGACTGAGTGTTGATTATTTTTATACTGTGTTAGTGAAATCTCTTATTCTGCCATCACCAACAGCGGCTGTTCGCAGAAATGACACAGACCAGCAAAGATTTCTCACTGGTAAGTGCATAAGGACCAAAGCAAGCTCATTATGGGGAACACTTATTTATAGACTTCAGACATGAGACCATAAACAGTTTATGAAATATCTGTAAGAAAGAATCATCACTGAATGATCTTCCTGTATATATCTGATGGTTATAGTGTTACAACATGATCATAAACTATGCAAGAGCTTTCAGGCTCTTGTAAGGCATATTAGTCCCTTAAGATCTGACCTTTAACCCAATTTTACTCCTCTTGCCAAGGCTTTTTAAAAGGTCTCAATTTAGACTTTGAATGGACCTAAATAACATTTCATGATAAATTGAGTTTTCCAGCAGATTTTCATAATACGCGAACATTATATGGAGCTGAAATTCTGTAAGAGAAAAACATTATTCTGATGCTGGTAAATGCATTTTATTTTACTCAGCAAAATAATTCACAATATTCTTTAATTTTGAGGACTTAGTAAGCCTTAAAAGAGACCATAATGCATCATAAAACACCTGACTACCTCTTTGAAATATGCAATAGAAAAGAATAAATCTATAATAAGTTGTTATCATAGCACTTCTTGTTGATGCACTTTAGAAGGTATTTATGAACTAAAAGCTTTACAATATTTCTATTACAAATTATGTTGAAAACTGTGAATTACATGAGACTGAAAAGCTTTTCTTTATCCAACAGGAAAGTATATCAAACAAGGATGGGTGTATTTTCATACCAGTTTTTATTTTATTTCTTCCACCAAGAAGTCTTGGCAAGAAAGTAGAAAGTTTTGTCAGGAACAAAGTGCAGATCTGGTGATTATAAACACCGAAGAGGAACAGGTAAATATATGCATAGGCAAATATGAGCATATATATATATATATATATATATATATATATATATATATATATATATATATATATATATATATATATATATATATATATATATATATATATATATATATATATATATATATATATATATATATATATAATTTTTTTTTCTCTTTTTTAAGGATTTTACAAGACAGTTTCACAGACTCACATGGATTGGAGTTCATAATGTGTCCAGAACAGGACAGTGGACATGGGTGGATGGGACTCCACTGACAAAAAGGTTTTTGTTTTTCTTTTTTCTGCTTTAAGAAAAAATATGACATTTACAGCCTAATGAATATTCGAAATAAGTGCATGGATGTTAAATAATATTTTAAATCACAGAAATGGTTGGATAGTAAATAATTGATGTGGTAGATTGTTTTGTCCTTTTGGGTTTCAGCTATTGGGGACCTGGAGAGCCAAACGGTTACGAAGGCAGAAATGAAAACTGTGTGGAGATAAGGTTCTTTGATCGTCAAAACAGCTGGAATGATATACCATGTGAAGATCAAAACTTTTGGATCTGTGAGAAAGAAGCAGCTTTGTAAAGAAACAATTCAAGCCAGAGAAAGGTGAAACAGATGTGAAGTTAACTGAACTCCAAGTTCAATCGTTGATGAAGAAAGCTGCTTTCAGTTCTATGCTGAAAAATTGACTTTAGATTTTAACTGAGGAATAGGGTGTCATATAATAATAATAATTTAACTTTATTAATCTCACCATTGAGCAATTTGCCTCTGCATTTAACCTATCCCCTTGGGGAGCAGTGGGCTGCATTTATGTGGCGCACAGGGGAGCAGTATGGGGTTAAGGGAATAGAACTGGGTACTTCTACTGGTAACCTTCTTAGAGCAAAAGCACACTGCTCTTACCTCTAGGCCAACACTTCAAACAATGACTCATGCATAATTTACTCTGAAAGAGCAAATAGTCATATGAAAGTAATGAGTAATATTTTTGTTAATTGGAAAATAACCAGTACTGGATGTGAGAGTTAATTTACCTTGTTTGCCAACATAAAAAAAATAATCAAAAAGTACATTTGAAAAACTTATATTTAAAATCTGAATTCATGTATTACAATTAGTACATTGGGGGCACACACATGCAAGAATGATGTGTACTGCAGGAATCTCACCAGAGACTGCAAACAAACACAACATATCTATTTTTCTGTTACCTCTATTGTTCAACAGCAAATATTGATAACACAGTAATTGCTTGTTATTGTTATTTGAATTCTTAACTTTGTAACATTTGTTATTGTTTTGTCATTGTACTATAATTTGTGTTTGAAATTAACTGTGTTTTTTTTTTTGTCATGAAAGAGTCTAAGCCAACCTAATTTATAAAGGTAACCTTAAAATAAAGTACATACAAATAAAAATGTCTTTGTTTTTGGTGTCTCTGTTTAGGAAAGAAACAGTTAAGCAAATGAGCTCTGAGCCTATTGTTGTATCAAGAAGAATGAAAGAGAACACATTCACTTTGTCAAAGTAGAAGTTAAGCCCTTACTTATGTTCAGGAGAGAAACAGGGCTAAACACTGAACCACAGGCCCAACTCTATCATCTATTACTGAAGTCGTTGACAGCAGCTGATGCCTCCAGGATGGTGGAATAGTTTAAGAGAACACTAGGCCATATGAAGCTACCATGATGGGTAAAGGCAGAGAACATTAAGTTTGAATCTGAACTATAATAATGATGATCAATATGAAAACAGAAGCAGAATGAAGAACAGTGAGGACAAGTTGTTTTTAAGCCCTCCAGCAGCCGAAGCCTATAGCAGCATAATTATAGAGATGGTTCAGGATAACCCGAGCCCCTCCTACATTAATAGAACAATTTTAAACCAAATCTTATAAACAGACAGAGTATTTGCTTCACTGATTAAACACTCTGTTCCTCCTCTAACAGCCAGCCAATCACCTTCACACACAAACATCCTTGCTGACAAATAAACAAACCAGCAGCACATTTTATAGACCGGACTGATATGCTTTTTTCTCAGTAAGTTTGATTTATTCTACCATTGTTTGTCATATTTCTATTGAAGGTGTTTTATGTACTCTAAAAGTGTTGTTAACTTATATGAATATATATATATATATATATATATATGTATTCATATATTGTAACGGTCGTGTTAGGTTTTTGTCAGTTTTCAGTTTCACTTTGAGCCATGTTTTTCTCTGTTTTCTAGCTTTATTGGTGTTTTCTGGATATATTTGAGTTCTTAGGTTTTTCTTTGCTTGCCCTCTGTTGCCCTCTGGTGTTGGTCTCCTTTTCCCTAGCTTCTTCTAGAAGCCTCTGTTCAAACCTTCTCCCAATCAACTCAGTCCTGTCTTTGTTCAGTTTCCCATAAATACTCTCCCTGTGCAGTTCCTCAGTGCTGGTTCCTCGTCTTTCCCTGTCGTTCCCCATCTTTCCATGGCTCCTTGTGCATGTTTTCCCTTATGTCTTCATGTTTCTGGTTTGCACTTTTGTGTTGGATTTTGGGATTCCTGCCCCTGTTACCTGTTGAGAACTCCATTAAAACTATGCCATCTGGCGTACATACAATTTGTAATTTGCTTGGGATCAATAAAGTATATCCAATTCATATGTCCAATATCCTATTAATCATGAAATTAAACAGTCACTTTATAATTCAGTCAAACAGCAACAGAATAACTGATATAAATCAAGTTTAATTACATTCCAAAAATGATTTGGCCTGAGTTTGCTTGTTTTTATACAGGAAGTAATTATGCATTGACGTGCACAAAAGGCCTCGGGGACTTTCTATGATTTCTTTACTGTGACCAAAGTTTTGTGGTGTTGTGATTTCAGCATATTCACAAGACTACTAGTACTCACACAGAGGGTAGGGATAAGAAGTTTGCCGTTGTTGGCCATACTTTGTGTTCAACTATAAAGTTGCTTATAAAATGGATTAGCTGGAAGGCTAACATTTTTATTTCCTATGGAGCCTGTCTGGTGACATGGACAGAAAGAAAAGTTTACAAGATGTTAAGTCGAGGCTATGCGTTACTAATGAGGTGGTATAAGATGGATAAGTTGTGGCCATCGTACAATGATTATTCATACACGTTGTTTTTATGCCCTGATGCTGTTTATCTGACATTTTTGTGCATCCACCTATAACCATGCAGCAGGGTCTATCCAGCTCCTTCTGGGTGAAGTCAACAACGTGGCAAAAGGTCGTTTATTCTTTATGTCTCAATCCGTGTGCCTTCAGCACCTGAATTAAATGTATCTTACTCATACACACTGGATGTTTAATTCCAAGAAATCACAGGATGTAATTATAGTTTATTCCAAATGTTGAAATGAAATCAAGCCTTTTCTCCATGTTTCTTGAATGTATGCTACACCACCATAAGGAGCTCATACCCAAATGACTTGAGACCACAACCTATCTATATTGTACCCATGCATTAATAACGTGCAGCCACAACTTAACATCTTGTAAACTATTTTTCTTGCATGTCACCAGACGGGCTCCATAATTTCCTACTTTTTTAGGTATTTTCTGTGAACTCCCTGAAAGAAAAAGACAGGTAAGTCCTTAAATGTAAGGACTGGTCTTATATCTCTAACTACAACAAATAGATTTGACTGCAAATGGCTCACAAACAACACCTAAGGGACAACAGATAAAATCAAACAACTTTGAAACTAGACAGTAAACAGGAAATTATTTTCAAACACGTAACCAAAGACATGACCAAAGACAGTAAAGCAGTAGCATGCTTACAGTGAGCATGTATACCAGGTTATTTAAGAAGAAAAAAATGTAAAAAGCAGCTGGATTTCTTGCCTTTAATTACTGCACAGAGGTTTTTGCATTAAACCTTCGCAGTTAAGAAATCTCAGCTACTTTGTTGTTTCTTCAGACCTGAAATAGACTTTTTAATGAAAATCAGTAGCATCAGCATCAGTTTGGAAGCATAACATAAAGGGGTATTTTGTTATATATATAATTCTGGCAAAATAATTCAGAAGTTTTCTTACATTCTTATTCCTTTTCCTACTTTGGGTATAACAAAACTCTGGTATAACAGGAATGTGTATGCTTTCAAGACCAACACATTTACACACAACAGATTATTTTTGTATTTTGACGAGATTTGAGAAACATTCCAGGGATATTATTGTTTCTTTTATATTACTTTTTGATAAAATAACACAAGCAAATCAAAGAAATTTGGAATTTGAAAACTAAAAAATGATTAAACAAATTATCAACCAATATGTAATCATGGCCACTTTCTAAGCTCTAGACTGTACATGATGCTAAAATTAAAATAAAGTGTGTCAAATTTTTTTGTTTCCTAGATGAAATCCAGCCTCCAAAGCTTTAACTAACAACTCAATACAAAACAAACCAAAACAGGGGGTTGGGTTTCTCCCTCTTATCTTATAAATACCACTAAAAATGTTGCTGATATATTGGAAAGAAAGAAAACCAATACTTCTAGAAAATGAGGAAGATGTTTTCCTCAAAAACGAGAATCACTTCAATATGTGTGCCTTCTTACTGAGATCAAGAAACTGAATCTTAGGTACTGAAGGAAACCAACAAGGACGATATTCCTGTGCAGTTCATCGTTGCACTGCTGTTTCAAAACAAGAAATGTTTTTTCATAAGGACCAATCTGAAATGTCTGCAGTATATAATGAAATCAGTACTATTCCTTTTTCCAGTGAGGATAACCTGGAGAGCAATTCAGAAAAAGACAGCAAAGCCTCTTCTCCTGCATCTGGTAAGACACTAATTTGCTTACCCATTAATGTCAGTTTAAAAACATGATGATTTTCAACTTTGTTAGCAGTTGTTCACAATATCTAATAACAAACTTATGTTGAAAACAATAAGAATTTTAGATTAATCTTTAAAATGCACCCCTAAAGTGTTTTTTGTTTGTTTTGTTTACATTTAATATGTTTAACATATGATTTCTGTCACTCCACTTGTGTTTACACAGGATTCCAACGATGCAGAGTGTCTACGGTTATCCTTGGACTTTTAGCTGTAGTTCAGCTTGCTGTTATCATTTGTCTTGCTCTCCGTAAGTGATTTTTACACTCATACATGTCCAATTCATCAAAAGATCTCAAAGCTCTGTGGTGATAATGAATAATGTTTAAAATGCATGAGATTGGCAAACAATAAATTTGCAATTTCTACACCCATTAAGGCAAGCATTAAAGAATTCAATGTAAAAGAACTTTAATGTTTTAACATAATCCTCACTTTGGCCAAATAGAAAAACTTTGGAATAATTTGGATGTTTAAGATATAATCGTTTCAGTTTCCCACAAATTCTGACAGTCTTTCAAGAAGAGCTGAACCTACAACAGAGGGTGTAGTGAATCTTATTAAACTCTGTGGATTTAGATTGGAATGTATCTTACAGTAAGTCCTGTGTGAAGGCAGATAATCAAATACATCTGGCAATATAGGATTTGTAAACCGAAATAAAAAAAAAGCACAAATTATGTGGGGGGGGGGTTTCTAAAAGAAAATGGAAGTTGCATTTGTGTGACCGTGCTGACGGTCACAATATTTCAAAAATATGCTTAACTGAACATTTTTTAACCTGCTGTGTTTGGTGGAATTGGGAGATAACTTTTGTTTTATGCAAAGAGTAACTTAGCAGTCACTGCATCATATATAAAATGCATGAATACATGCATGCATACATTATTCTTCTTATTATTATTATTATTGTTATTATTATTGTTATTATTATTATTATTATTATTATTATTATTATTATTATTATTATTATTATTATTATTATTATTATTATTATTATTATTATTATTATTATTATTATTATATTTTTTATGTTTTTATTTAACCTTCATTTTACCAGGAAGTCCCTTGAGATGAAATCTCTTTTTCGAGGGAGACCTGGCCAAGAGGCAGCAGTACAGTATTATAGATGTTGGTGGTGGTGTTGATGTTAGCAATATTTCTTAATGGTATAAAACAGCAGCATCATATCAAAAAAGCAAGAATGGTTATAGAAAAGCTAAATGAAGATGCCTAATTTTGTTAAACATTACAACTAAATTGCAATTAGAAAATTAGAAATTACAGAACATACATCTATTTATAACATGAAACCTATATGAAGTGAAAAAATAAATACATTATTAGGAAAGCTGAAAGACTTCAGGAAATATGATCAACATGTGTTACTTATATAATTTAAGCAATTTTTTAAAATGGGTAAACAACAGATTGGTAAGCTCTTACTTTAGAAATTGTTCAAAGTTTAATATTTTAATAGTTCAAAAGATTTTCTTCTTGAAGTGACAAAATAAAATATGTAAATTTTAATTTAAAGGGACCTTATCACATACCATGGCTTAAGTAATTTCTACATCAGTAGCTCACTTTAGATACAGACATGGCGGCAATAGGCATGCAACCTCCAGTGAAAGTCTTAAGATATGAAACGTCTCAGATCAAATGTGGAAAATCTTAAAAACATATTGGATGCAAAGAATGGATAGGACAGGAGTAGCTCTTGAAATAAATAACATATGTAGGATTCTCTAAAGAAGGAGCTAAGGGTGTGTCCAATTTGATATTTGAATGTAAACTTTTTAACTTTCAACTCAAAGTTTTCCATTGAAATTGGAACTCTTACAACCATAATAAGGACAAAAACACTGTTGTACTGTTTTATGAAGTATTCTGAGCACTTAAACACATCATCCTCAAACTTATTGCACTGTAGGCCCCGAATAATAACTGCTGCATACATGCAAGACAACTGCTACAGTCCTATGGAATTGACATCAACTGACGCTATTTTTTATTCCCCAAGAGCTTTGGCAGAGAAAGTTGCAGTTCTTTCACTAGTAGAAGTAAAAGACTGGCTTGAAGTAGAGCTTGTTTTCATGTCAGATTTGCATGGCGATCATGTAGTAATCTGTCATGTAATAAACAGTGTTAAAGCACCAACAGCACAGTGCAGCGAACACAGCCCGTCCGTGTTTTCTGCATAGGCCTCTGCCGGCTCGGCTGGTGGCTGTTTTATACCTGAAGCACCAGTCGAGTCTCATTTCTTCACCCTGCCTCTAATTCCTTTACCTGCTATTGATGCAGGTAGCATCCATTTTGAATGTGACAGCTGGCTGCCATCTATACTGAGTATCTAGTTTATAATTTTCAGGCAAAATTCCATGGAATTGTTTTACTTGGAAATTTAAAATGTTGACTTCCAATGATAAATGGCAGAAACCATAAGTAAACACGCAGGATGACCACTGGGCATGTATTGTTTTATTGGAAGATAAATATATATATATATATTTTTGTTGTACTTTTAGGCAAAGTATTTGACAGCGGACATTCAATTTATGTGCTGAATAACTGACTCAGTAAGAACAGCAGAATTAAATATTTGCAGACAATGCAAAGTCAGCGGTTTGAAGGAGTTTATTCCAGATTTGTGGTGTATAAGAGCTACGTGCTGCTTCTCTTTGTTTGGTTCTGGTTTCAGACAGGTGAAGCAGACTACAGTTTAGAGGTCTGGGTGGTTGATACTCTGACAGCAAGTCTTTAAAGTATTCTGTACTAGGCCATACTGGGATTTAAAGGTATTGTGGAGGATTTTCTCAAATTTTTTAAAAGACCAGCCATCTCCATTTTGAAAACAAATGCGCATCGAAGAGCATGCAGGAGCCCATTTCTCCTTGGGCACGCTCTGTTTAAAAGTGGCTGTTCTCCTAGCTCATACAAGGTTACTGTACCTGGACGCCCGCCCAAACCCCTAAATCCCTTTATAGTGAACTCAGTCATCTTACAGTTCAGACAGATGATCACTTCACCACTGTCGGGCAGTGGCAGCCTATGGCGACAGCGGGCCACTGTGACATCAAATCCCATAACGCTTTGCGAGCAGAGCTCTCCGTGCAAAGCATTCTGGGATATATCTGCCTCTTCTGAGGCCTCCTTTCTTCTTCCCTGTGTCATGTCCGGATTAATGTGTCTAACCCACATGCAGAACACACAGAGGCAGATGAAAAAGTTCAAAGATTTATTAATAATAAATGTACAAAGTACATTGGCTCAGGCTTGCTAACCGTTACTGGCAAACACTCTGGCACTGGAGTGAAGCCCTCCGCCTCCTTAAGTACGGATCTCCTGATGAGCAGATGAGAGACAGGTGGTGCGGTCGGCTCATGCTCCAGGAGATCTCGTGCGCCCTCTGGTGGAGAAAGTGGACAAACCTCCAGATCCCAGCACCCTGGCTGTGACCTGGATGACTGAGAATCTTCACCAGCACTTTTTCTTCTCATACACTTCATAGACACTTTTTCTCTTACGACCCTCAGCCATTTTTATAATTGTTGTTTTCAGAGCCAGGAGAAAAAACACCTGATAAAAGGGGCATGTCTATTATTGGATTAAAAGCAGATATTATCACAGATAGAGCATCATATGGGTAAAAAACAGCATGTGAAAGAGCTTCAGCAGTGGATGATTTCAACTAAGTTTTTATAACGCTCAAAACTAGTGAAGCTAATTGCAAACCAGCACCAATAACATACAATGTTGAACCTAAGGATGTAGAGACCCATTGGATATATATATTGATCCAGGTATTCAAGGCAGTCAGAAATCCCTGACTGAAGAGAGAAAACGCTTATTAGAACCATAATCAGTAAGTATAACAACCAATCTATTGATTGCACACTGAAAGGAAAGAAAATATATGCTTTAAGAGCACAAAGTCTTTGACAACAATAAAGAAATACCATTGCAAGAAAGGTTTTTCTGTGTCTTACTTTAAAAACTGAGAATTAACAATTTCCAAAGAATCAAAATCCCATTTTTTCTTCTTCAGACATTGAGGCCAACAACAAAAATGTGACTGAAGAGAAGGATGAGCTGAAGAGAGCGCTGAATGACTCTAGTATGTATGACCAGATGCAATAAATTTCTATTAGGGTTTGTTTATGGTAGGAAGCATTGTGATATTGATCCATTTACTTTAAACTGATTTTCTTTCAACCTCAAAAGAAAACAAGAATAGAAAACAATTAAACATGCTTTAATTTAAAGGTTTACAGCTGAATTCTTTGACTCAAGGAAATGACAAGTTGAAGAAGATTAACTCTGGTGAGTGTAATAAAATTTTCTATCTACTGCACACAAATGTTTTCACTTATTGTTTTTCCATCTGCAACCAACCACCTGTTAAATCCTAAGTGAATTCTGTTTTGTTTTGTTTCTTTCTTTATATTATAGAAATCGTAGCCAGAAGTAAAAACTTGACAGAAGATAGAAATGAGCTCAAGGCGAAGCTGGATGATTTAGGTTAGTATGAAAATATATTGTGAATGAAGGGCCAAATTTTATAATGCAGATGTAAAAAGTTTCGCCATAAATGTATTTATGAATATAAACTCTGAGCCACTGGAAAACAATCTCAAGCTTTTCATTAAAATTACAGTTTCAAGGCAGAATACTATGATTGAGGAGAGAGACAATTTGACCAGAATAAATGCTGGTGAGTATTAGACTTAAAATTTTCTCCAGGTCATGTTCTATAAGAAATAATGATAAAAACAAAACCCAGTTTCTCTGAAATTTTTGTGTTTTCCTATATTTCCTAAATATCTATGTTCTGGTCTACTGACTGTCTCAAATAAATACCATTTACCATTTAACCACTGCTTGAACTCCCTTCTTCAATGAGTGCAGCGCATGTGTAATGTCATCTGCTGTACTAGTAGTGTTGCTAGTTGTATTTTATAAATTAGTTTCTGAAATGTGTGATGTCATTACCACAGTGAATTTAAAAAAAGGGATTTTATTTGTTAATGATGCTCAATATGCCTCAGATACTCAGACCAGTTGCAGAAGAATCTCACTGGAAAGAGATCAGCTGAGGGAAAGGCTCAACATTTTAGGTGAGTTATAGCAAAAATGCTAATTTTAAAATACCTATAAACATAGATGTGTCGCAATGAAAAAAAAACATGTATAACATTTTTAAATTAGAAAAGCACTCTGTGGCAAAGGTAATCATGCCAAATCCAGAATATGTATACATAAAAGAAGTGAGATTAGCATTTCTTCTTTTCAAAGTCAAGCAGATTTTATGGTAGTAAAAGAAAATTATACTTTACAGCTGCTTATAGCCAGTTTTTTTTATCTCTGCCAAGGAGGTTATGTTTTAGGATGTGTGTGTTTCTGTCTGTCTGTCTTATTTTCTGTGTACAGGATAACGTGAAAGTCATGGACAGACTGTAATTACATTTTTATAAGAGGTGTCCCTCATGCCAAGGAACAATCCATTACATTGTGGTGATGATCCATATCATAATCTGGATACAGGAATTTTTTAAAAGACTCTCTAACATTGTGAGATAGGGATATTTGCCGCAGTAAGCAGTTCCCAATAAACCAGAGGGTGGGAGCAGGGACCATTGACAGCCTCAGCATGGGACTGAAAAAGTCCAGAAGTATTTTACTGACGACAACAACAACACAAGAAAAGGGAAAGTTGTTGGTTTGCTAGCAGGATCAGTTGAAAACATCTGAACATATTTTATGGAATTTTATTTATCAGAGGTGCACCTCATTTCAAGGAAGAATTCATTAAAATTTGGTAATGATCCAGATCATGTGTGAGTTTTAGCTATAGGCCTAAGTCACCATATGGGGCAAAAAGTGCTGCTTGGCAGAGTTCTGCACTCTCAGAGTGGTTTTCCAGTTATTTTTGCATTCATGGTTTTGGTTTTGAAGGTAATTACAGCTGTTTTGTGAGGTATCCTATAGCAATATAATTCAGTGAAATCCTTTTATTTTATTTTATTTTATTTACAATATAATTACATTTTTTGTGAAGCAGCTTGGAACCCTGCTTTAAGATAATAACTTTATGCTTCTACCTAGTCAGCTGGCATTGGTGGTGTATTATTGTTGATTCAGCTGCTGAACAGTGAATAAAGACCTCATCTCTCTGATAGTCCTACAGTATTGTTTATTCAATCTAAGCAAATATTTTTCGTGTTGAAGAACGTAAAATATATATATATATATTTTTTTCTAAACCAAGGTTTAAGTACTTTTTACGTTTTTAAGGTTTTTTGGTTTTATCTTTATTTAGTTTTAACTGATTTTCAATTCTATATTATTGTTTATTTGTTTTTAGAATTTGTTAGCCAGTTTAGTATAGTTTTTAGTTTTTTTTAAATACTTAGCATTAGCTTAGTTTCTACTAGTGTCAGTTATACTGTAGTTTATAGTCTTCTATGGAATATGACGTACATTTGGGAGGCAAGACTAAAAAATATAAAAATAATCTCTCTCTCTCTCTCTATCTCTCTATCTATCTATCTATATATATATATATATATATATATATATATATATATATATATATATATATATATATAGCAGCACAAATGCGCTGAAAACCTCAGAATCTGCTGCTGTAATGCGGTTCAGGGACAAAAGGCAAAAAGTGAAAACAGCAACTGAAAACTAGACCTTATGCATTATGACAAAAGCACTAACAAACACTTAGCAAATTATCTCTTAAAATTGATTTAGTTGCAATTTGTTTTGTAAACTCTCATTATTTATTTTGCCAGGTGTAATTTTTATTTTAGTCAAAAAAAAAATATTCTAGTTTTTGTTTGTTTTATTTAATGATAATAACCTTGTTCTAACATGGTAAAGAATCCTTGTAAATTTGATCAATTAGAAAACACTTTATTTTAAAGTTTATTTCTAATGTTACTTCCCCCTCTATGCCTGTTTTTTATTTTTTTTTATTTTTTTTTTTTTATCAAAGGCTATTTACACATCTTTACCAGAGGTGAAAACAAATGCATTTGCTCCTGTACTTTTGGGCTGATTTTGTCTATTTAACCTGGATTGCATGCTCATTTATTCTTCTTCACACCTTGTGCAAATAATGAAGAAGCTTTTTAGCACATCTTCAACTAATATTAAGTTCTTATATTTCTTTTTTCAAATAAGCTCAACCAGGGTGGATCATTTTCAGACAAAGTGCATACTACATGTCGTCTACAACAAAGACCTGGCAGGAAAGTAGAGATCACTGTCGTTCACTAGGTACAGACCTGATGATCATCAACAGCAAAGAAGAGCAGGTGTGTGATCGCATCAACATATATCCCTTTTTGACAGATATTTAACAGCTGTAATGAGAATTAGAGGTATGATATTAGATATAAGCAGATGTTATTGAGACAAATCACTTAATAACAGGATTCAATTTGTTGGTTGATGTAAGTTTCAATCTATGTTTTTTTAGGTTTTTGCAAACGGTTTTAAGAAGTATATGTGGATCGGGCTGACTGACTCAGAGGGAGAGGGAAGATGGAAATGGGTGGATGGGACTCCAATGAACACAAAGTAAGAATAATTTAGACAAAGTTTAAACAAATCTTTCAACTTATCTGCACTTTTATAACAAGTTTTCTCTAAATGAATTCTGGATATTTTCTTTCTATTTCAGCTACTGGAGTGAAAATGAGCCAAATGGAAAAACAGAGGAAAACTGTGCTGATATAAAGAGTTTTGAAATTGAAAGCAGCTGGAATGATGAAAGTTGTTCTCATAAGCTTAACTGGATTTGTGAAATGAAGCTAAATCCATAAGAATTGTAACAATCAGAAATCTTTCAGCATTTTGTAGATATAACATGAAAGCTTAGCTTTAATTTAGGTCAAACTTCATGCCAAATAAAACTCCATACATTATATATTTTTAGACAACCTCATGAATGCATGATACTTTAACACATCTGTCCTCCTATTCAGGTCAGATTTATAGTTAAAAAAAAAACATTAGGCATTAGGTATTAAAGATTTTAAGATACTTAAAATGAGCAACTAGGTGACTGAAAAAAAAAAAAAAAAAGAGTGGTTACATTTATTTTGAGTTTTAACTCCTTTCTAGAACAACAGAAATTCCAGCTGCACTTCTAAACATTGAAAAACCCTTTCTGAAAGCTGCCTCTTGAATCTGTGAAACCAAAGGTCCGATCTTTACAAAGGGATTCTAATACAGTTGAGCAGGCAGCCTGTCCAAACCTTTTTTCCATGTGTTCCTTTATCAACATGCAATTATATTCTAATCACACAAATCAAATCACAAAACTCTATGGGTTGCCTATTGTTGAAAACATGGTCATGGCTTCCCCAGGTCCTTTGATTTGAGTGCAGGTCAACTGAGAGGGTGTGCTATAAAAAATTCTGGACAATGAAGCTTCGATTCGCCTTTGCAAAAGGGAGAGAGCAGCAGCATCTGCGAACAGCATCTCTGACCCCCCTGCAACACCGGCTCTTTTTATTATCTTCATAGGGGAAAAATCTTACAGCTTCACACAGACAGTCCCACAGAGTGATCATACTCCCTACATTCCTATCTCCATGTATGGAGTTGCTTCCTGTTTTCTGCTTCTACCTTGTTAATCAGCTTTTTCTGGGTGTGTGTGTGAGCAAGCTCATTCTGCCCTCTTATCTACACATTTCATCCTCCCCTCTGCTAGCTTTGGCCTAACACCTGGGAATAGTAAATTTGCTGCCCATCCTTAGATTATACATAGCATATATTCTTCAATATGAATAATACGTTTTGCTGCAGCTTTAATTTTAACTTAGCTCTTTACTTCTTTTAGCTTAAACATGTATATACATCTTCACTATCTGATGCAAAGTAATATGTTTGTGGCCTCAAATGAGGCAGTAGTAAAATAACAGAAATTGGGGAGAAATTCTGAAAGCATGCAAACATAATTAGAACGTTGAACATAACAAGAGTATAATTATAATATTAGCAGAAAATTGTTTATGTATTATGCTGAAAAATAATGTAGGGTGACATTCATTATACAATTAAACCAAAGGTTAAAAAAAAATAAATAACTGAACTTAACTACTGTGGCATGTTTGGAAAAAATAGTGAAATATTAGCATAACTCAGAGAACATCCATCAAAGAGCCTGTAAAGAGAAATGAGGGACCTGAAAGCAGAGATGGCAAAAGTACTCACTTTCCGTACTTGAGTAAAAGTACAGATACTTGTGTTAAAAAATACTCTGGTAAAAGTGGAAGTACTGATTAAACTTCTTTACTCAAGTAAAGAAGTCCTCTGGCATGGGAGCTGCCTTGGAGCTCGTCTGCCTGGCTGTGTGTTTCCTGGACGGGGCCGCCTTTTACAGCTGCTTTTTGTATCTCTGCTTCTGTCTCCTTGAACCCCAGTCGGCCTCGGCAGATGGCCGCTCACACTGAGCCTGGTTCTGCTGGAGATTTCTTCCTGTTAAAAGGGAGTTTTTCCTCTCCACTGTCGCTACAAGCATGCTTAGTGTGGGGGATTGTATTTGAGTCAATGAGTCAATGCAATCAACCGGTTTTCCTTAGATAGAAAACTTTGTATCAATTTGACTGTATGATCTGGTTGAACTGTAAAGTGCCTTGAGATGACATGTGTTGTGAATTTGGCGCTATATAAATAAACTGAATTGAATTGAATTAAAAATAACAAAGTGCAGGCTTGTAAATTTACTTAAAGTATAAAAGTAAAAGTACAAACCACTTTTTTCATGCCGTTGCCTACATTTTAAATGGATGTCTGCCAATAGGACTAGATCTCCATTGTGTTCATTTTCAATCATCTCGTCGTCCATACTACTATGCTAACACCACCGCCACCAAGCTGCAATGATTTGCCGCGAATGAATACCGCCAAATCTGTCGATTCATCTTGTAGTGGTGCGTCAAATGCAACGTAGATTCCCATCCAATTAGATTGAATTTGGTATTGATGACGTGAAAAATAATAACGGTAACTCCATTGAAATGATTCAAAAATAAAGTAACGAGCCAATTTTTTAAAATGTAAGGAGTAGAAAGTACAGATATTTGTGTAAAAATGTAAGGAGTAGAAGTAAAAAGTCAACATAAAAATAAGTAGTAAAGTAAAGTAAAAATATCAGAAAAATCTACTTGAGTACAGTAACGAAGTATTTGTACTTCGTTACTTCCCATCTCTGCCTGAAAGTGCACACTTCTTATTCGTGACAAGAGGAATTGTTTTTCCCTTCAATGTTCTTCGATGGGCTCTGCATGAACCATGGTTATGTTTAATTTAAAAATCTTTGGTGAACCCTATTTTGCATTGTATTTAGTAAAGTGGCTGTTTAGGTAGATAGATGGAGGTAAATTGAGCTGTTTGGGACTTAATCTGCTTTGAATCTGACTGCGGCTCCTTCACTGTTGGGGAGGAGTGGGATGGGGATGGGAATGTCAATCAGCAGGTATAGACAACTCTCTTATGTTTTATAATCTGTTTTTGCTTTTAAAGGAAAAGTCCAGTCATATTCAGAAATAGAACTTCTGAAAGTACTTTAAATATGAAATCATTACATACTGTTCAATAAATGATAAGGGTTTTTTTTTTATTAGGAGTAATTTCATTTTAATGTGCTTTACCAGAGGTATCCGTGTTTGTCAAAAAAACACTACTGCCACCTACCGGTTTGTGACATCACGTTGAGGAATCGGCTGTTGAGCAAGTTCCAATGCTGTATCTGGTGTTTGTCACAATGCGCTATTATCCAAGTCCTCTTTAAAACATTCTTGTTCGAAATTTTAGCTACATATTACATGCTTTTTCTCTGGCCAGAACTTCAGTGGGAAATCCTCCCTCTTCAAGTTGGCAATCCAAAGAGGATCATGAATCGGAAAGGTTAAATAAATACATTTTTTTTTTTCACTTTTACCCGATGTTTTACAACAGCCAATTGCCATGCACCTGAACAGTGTCAGTTTAACTATAGCTGTCACGAATTTCAATGGTGAAGTCCTCTGGAAATCTGAATTAATTGTTGTTGATTGCAGGTTTGTGTAACAGTTCTAATCGATTTTGCCACCTTTAATAAGACCTTCCTCAAATCTGACTCTGTCATCTGAAAAAGAAAAGAAAGTCCATAAAATGTTTCTCTGTTGATCATTTAAAAGCTCCATTGAAACATTAACATGAAACATTAGAACATCCTTTTTGTTTATGTGTGTTTCACTGCTCTGTACCATATAAATTGTGATTAGACTTTAGAAATCAGTAATCAGTCAAAATAAATGACATTCTAGCATCTGATATTTCTCATGTTTTTATTTGGATAATCTCAATTCTTCTGTTTCTGATGTGGTCAACATTGTAGATTTTAAGGGTGTAAATGGAGCCAAGTTGGTTTTATGATGACTATTGTTTTCATATTCATCTAATCTTGTTACTTTGTTCTAGTGAGTCGCTTTAAATGTTTTTGATTAGTGTTTCTTTTTCAATTTTATTTTTTTTCTTTGTCTTGCTTATGTGTTTCTCAGAAGATGCTTGACAGTTCAGTATACTTCAAAAGTAAAAAAATCCTTTAAGGTAGATGTCACGTGGTGTATAATTGAGCAAGCAGTATTTAAACCCAAGACTAAAGCTCCTCAGATAAAGTATGAAACATTTTAATCACAAATTCAGTTATTTTATTTTTTTAATCTTTTTCTAAGTGGTTTTATTGTGGTGAATAGGCAAACCTCAAAATCAGTCATTTCCAATAATCCAATATTCTCTATATCTCTTTATTGTCTGTCTGCAAAATGAAAGTTTTACAAACTTATGTAATATGTTTTGACAGTAGACATAACATTCCTTAAACCTTGCTTTTCCTTGGGCAATAAATGTTGTCACTGTTAAAGCTAATATTTAATCACCTGTAATTGTAATCAATCATCATTAACTATTTGATTGGTAAAAATGCCACTCTTTATAATGTCAGTTATAGTCAAAGTAATCCAGATGATTGAGATTTTTAACATATTTAGCAACTAATTAACGGGGTAAAAAAAAAATAACTGTGAAGCAATGAAATATACACGTCTTCCATTGGTTTAGACACTACTTCCGCTATTCAAATCTTACAAGAAGTTATATAAAGTGTTATGAGATGAACTGAAGTATATATATAACTATCAGTTGTGTGCAGGGCAATTTAAAGAGAAGCTATTACAAATAAAGCTGAAGCGCAAATTCAACCTGAAAGAGTCTAATCAGCCTCACCTGTATCACCTGTGATGTGCCACACTCAAAGTTCCAACCAATAAGCATCAAGACTGCACCCACTCTGAAGTTATTCCTTATCCAGGATCATCCACATAATCTCCACATCCAGCGTTTCTCCTGCATACCAGATAAACCTTCACCCACCTCTGCCGCATCGCCTCTCTCACTCTCAGGCTATTCTATATCTCATTGATCCTCTGGCCTATTCCACCACCAGTGTCCACACCCTGGGCAGGAAGGCTACTCTAATACTTTTACTTTAGCAGAGCTCATGTTAATTCACAGCATCCAGTCATCTGCCGTGCCCCAAAGAACTTGAATCTGAAAAACTCACACAAAGAGAAAAGACAATTAGGAGAAATGTATTGATACATTTACTTTGTCTTTGGCGCTCAGACCTCGGAAGGAAACATATTTGTCTGTTGAGCTTTATGGGGATATCCAGTGGATTGCTGTTAGGTTTAAATCCAGAGAAATGTGAGTTTAAGAGTTTAAAGAGGACAAAATGATCAAACACAGACAGGGATTTGCAACATCAGCCTCTGCACAGGGGACAAGAACTGCGGGCTCACAACCAGTACCTTTTCTCACTGTTTCCTTCACAGCAGAGCCTTTTATTAACAGTTTACAACATAATAGGGCGGGTCTTAAACAGAAGACCCTGTAATGATTATCTGGCTGAATGCAAGTCACAAAACAGTGTGACTCTACTTCATGAGCAACTGGATGCAAGGTCATAAAAGTGTATGACCCTGTAAATGCCTTCTGGCTGAAG